CTGGCAGAGTTAGGCAAAACTAGGTTTATATAACAATGGGTGAAATATAGTAACCAGTATGCCTACGTGAATCTTAGTGGCACTTTCAGGCCTCCTCTTAAATAACTAGAAATTAGATTTCACAAGTTTTAGGACTGACGATTTCATCAACATAAACATTCTAAGGTACCCTCAGATACGCTTGTTTAGGCATTGCTGGCGTTTCTGAAAGCACTTATTGGAAAAAAATTCGGTGCACATTTCCACACTTATAGTGGCGAAAAGTACTGTCATGCGCACTAGTCACCTTCGTCATACGCGCACCTTAGTCCTTTGAGGTTTTCTTTTGCTGTAATTAAGCTCAGGCAAAAGACATAAATTTACACAGTTGATAACGATGCTTGGGCAGTTAAGTGAACCATTAAAAATAAAAATATGCCATATTACTCTGGCAGTGAATAATCCTTCAGAATCAACTGGAGCAAAATAGCCATGACTGAGAGATGAGCTGCACTACTCCTGTGTAAGTTCTTAGCTCAGTAGAGTTCATCTAGAAGACTCTGTATTCGTAGATGTTCAAGGGACCCATAAGCTAGAAATTATGACATAATAACAGTCGCCATATAACCCGTCGAGGTGATGAAGCGGTGTTGACATTTGCTCAAAGCAAGTTGAAGCCAACACAACTGCTTATTCCTCAACTGCTATATCATTTGTTCTAATTAGACTGAAGACAAATTAAAACACCAGATTGGTCGTCCGAAATACGAAATACATTTCGGGATCGAAATCGTAGCCTGATGTTAGTTGCTTAGCTAGCTGGTGACCGTACACGAACGAATAAATGCAACGCGACAGCGCGTCAGGTGGCGTGAATGCTTGAATGCTAACCTTCAAATTAACCAGTCGGCTGAAACAATGAAGGTCAGTATACACTGCTGAGTGATGAATGCTGCAGGCTAATGATTTTCAGGAAGTGTTTACCTCTACAACTCATACTCACCTGGTGGTTTGTGAGGACTGTTAGACGAAATCAGCCGGAACGGAAAAGCTAATGGCAGCACCACTAGTAAAGCTCTTCCGATCGGTGTAGTGGCGACCAGTTGACTGCCTATTGTCTGTCAATGCACTGCACTTCAATGGTCGTCTGCTTCCGTTCCGATGATGTCACACCTGGAAAAGAAACCCAGAGTTCTGAGAACCTCGTCGCAAAAATGTAACCGATATAACGGTGGAATCAGTACACAAATAAACGTAAGAAAAAAACGAAAAAATGAGGAACATCGAAAAAAACATCTTTTAACAGATGAAATGTTACATGTACATTTATTGAAAAAACTTGACTTATGATGAGGAAAGCAGTGAAAAATAATCTGTATGAATGAAAAAAGTGCCACAAGCAGAATAGATTGTTTTTTTACAAAAAGGTAGGGACACGTTTATGTTATTTCGTAGGAAAAGCAGGAGCATTCTCGTGTACTTGCAGCCATTAAGTCAGTGAGGTGTGTAGCGTGAAATGTGCAAACATTACTAGGATTACGAGTAATTTCTCGATACCTCTGCTGAGGTTAAACCTATGGAACTGTATCACGTGATATAAACTCTACGATTGAAAGTTTGGCTATATGTAGCGTGAAGAGTTAGAGGAACTGCTGCTTGCGGGTTTCTTGACGTGTTTGGACTGCTATACAGCGAATGACTAAAAAGACTGGGTGTCTCGTCAACACATTACAATAGTCAGAGGGGAGATGAAATCATCATTTATATAATATTTTGGAATGACTCTGGACTATACTTATTTTTGCTTTCCTTTCCTAGCATGTCACAACATCTCAAAGTACAGAGCGCCGTAGTACGACAGCTACGGACGAATGACATAGCCGTGTAATCCTGGTCCCTTCACACCAACCGTTGGGATCAAACTCCCAGAAGACTTGGTGTCCGTACCTTTAAATGGCTTCTTCGTGGTAGGATTTTTCAGGCACAGATATGCGATGGAAAAGAGCTGCCATAAGATTAAAATCTTACACCCTTCACTGGAAATTTGAGAAATCCGCAAGTTAACAAAATGAGACCGAATTCATATAAAAAAGAATAAATATGCTGTAGGGCCATCTGAGTAGGAGAGATCTTTCATTAAATTAGAAAGAGAGGAAGATTTTCAATCGCTTAAAAGATATGAATACATGGAGGGTTAGTTTACTTTTAAGTTTGTTTTATCTTTTTGGTAGCTTACTTGAATTCTACAGGCGGTCTTATCGAATCAATCCACCGTGACGCCTTTCTTCGTTTGATTCCGCCGTGTTATATGATGGTATTCGGCCTGCTTTTAACCAGCCTGACGTTTTGGAATGTGTTAGAGCTGGTTAACATGTGTCACTGAGGGCTTTATTAAGATTACAGTTCCCGATATTCTAAAGGTAGTGTGCATAACCGTGTTATTTTCTATCACTTCAGTGCATTTATTCTTTGCTAATAGGTAATTTCCAAACTTCTGGCTCGTTTTATAGCAAAGCTGCACCACTTTTGATCAGCTTATCTTCTTACTAAATAATCTTATTAAAACGGATTCATTGGAATATGTATGCGGATATCATTGCATAACTCACTCTGAAATGCCTTCAAATTTGATTATTATATTCGTTTTTTTCAAATGTATAGCGCTGGCACATTCATTGTATTCCGTAGCTTTTGAGTGTGGCAAACCATCTATTTATCTAAATAATCAGCTGTGGGTTACTGATCACACTCAAGGTTGTCTAAATGATGAGGTTTCAATTTTAAAATACTGCAACAAAGTTTATAGCGAAAGAAACATAACCAAAGTTGTCGCAGCTCCACCGATTGATATTAATCTTTCAGACTGGTGTGAATTCACTCCTGGAAATCTTGAGAAATGCCAAAACCTGCAGCGAGAAAGATATGAAATCAAACCTTTCATATGTCTTGGTCTGTTTATACCTTAATTTTCTAACTTTGCTCTTGTAGATAGTGTCCCAATGTCAACATTGTTTGTTCCAAATGGTTGCCAACTGAGTAGTCTAGACAATGATCACACTTATTTGTGTGAAAACCATAGGTTTTGGGAGGATTCAGCTCGAAATTCGTGTCATAAGCGTAATATGAGGTATCAGAACTATTTACCCCTCAAACCATGTATCAAACAAGAAGATTTCTCTGCTATCCATTTCACAGCAGCTAAAGTTGTTTGTTGTGCAATGTCTGGTGAGTTCATCTGGTTTGTTATTTTAACTTTGAATCAGTTGCTGTCATTCCTGAAAACCAGAAATTTGGCCTTTAGAAGCCTTTAAATGAGACTTGCGTATATTTTCTGAGGAATTTTAGTGTAACTCAAAATCACTGAGTTTATTTCTTAAGGTTTCTTCAGTGTGTTAGCCAAATGAAATGAATCAAATTTATGGCTTAATTATTTGCTTTGGTAGACAGAAGTTGTAAAACGAGAAAAATCCCATTTAAATATGCCTGACTGAGAACTATAAATGTAATGTGCTCGTGGTTGACTTCATTTGTGGTTGGAGAACTCTACTTGAAGAATTTAAGTAGTTTTCCGGCCATTCGTCACTCACATTTTATTTACCCTTTGAGTATTTTTCCATTATAGATAAGATTTTATTTTGATAAATCGCACAGTGTTTACAGTTATCAGTTCATATAACTGTAAACACTGTGCGATTTATCAAAATAAAATCTTATCTATAATGGAATTATACTCTACCACAGTGCCCAAGTTTTATACTTATACCTTTGAGTATTTATTAGTGAAATTTCGGTGGACTGATTGACATCTTGTAGTCAAACTCATTCCAGTTTTATTACTACTTAATTTACGGCGAGTTGTCACCTCAAGTGGTGACGACTAGTGGTGTCCGTCAGGGATGCCCATTATCCCCATTTCTATTCAATTCCATCATAGATGTACTGATGGACTTAACCCTAACTCACTTTAGAGACTCATGGAATGACTTGCTACCAGGGAAGTCTTGTTGACTTAGAGTATGCAGATGATATAGTTTTTCATCCCAGATGAAGACGCTGGCAAAATGAAGAGTCTTCTAAACACCTTGACCAGTAGTCTTCTAATGTTTGGAATGCGATTCGCTCCCACCAAATGTAAGATGATGCTACAGGACTGGAATACATTGAATCCTAGCTCAGAGATAGGCAGTATAGTGCTAGAGCACGTTGATCGCTTCACTTATTTGGGAAGTGCCATCAGCCCCAACGGGCTGATCTCCGACGAAATCTCAGCATGGATACAGAGGGCTATTTTCGCATATGTGACTTGAACTGCCGCACATCGGTGCAAAGTTCTACGTCGAAAACAGAGAGACAAACTTCTCAACTAAATACGACAGCGCACTGCTGAACATGTATCTTCAAATGTTGTTTTCCTACCTTTCTACTAGCCTTTTACAATCAATACAATATGGCATAGGTGTAAATGGATACATCATAGGCCTTTTCCATAATTCTAGTTCATTTTAAATTCTGAGATATTGTCACTTGATTCAAAACTATTTTGCTAAAAGATTGGTTTATTCATTTTTGAATATGTGACTGCTTCAGTTTGTGCAAAAGACGTGCTTTTGTAATGAGAACTGGTTGACCATTACGTAGTACTTATCTAGAATTTCTAGATTTCTTACGGATTATACCAGCCGTACTACTTATTTACTACAGTAACTAGTGAATAATACCCAAGTGTATTTTGATGACCTTTCAGGCTGTTGATGCTATTCATCTGAAAGTTACTAAATCCAATCATTTGATGACATGCCACATAAGATAATTCTTCAAATTCATTTCTCCTTGTAGTTGAGTGATTAGCTCATGTATTACATAAACTGTCACTACCAATTTATTGTAAAAATGTCACGGTTATAGACTGCAGTCATACTATCTCAGCTTTGATTCTGTACTTATTCTGTTGTTATTGCAATGTTAGAAGTTTCCCCTGAACCTTCTTTTTGTTCTTTGTGCCTATTTTAAAACGTTTATAGACTCTTCTAAAGTGCCTGCAACGTCAGTTCCGTATTCAAAGGATGTAAATAATTCAGTACTGAATAAAATTCATGTCGTAGACGATAAAGCAGTTTCTGCGGAAAATGTTTCCAGCGATGACAAGAACTTTATAAATTATTTAGCATTTTCAAACCAGAAGTCTCCTTCAGGTCTGTTAGTACCCGAGCGCGAACGTTACAGTAAAGCTAAACAGGCAGTTTCTAATGCCTTGCACAACCGGGAAAATGTTTTAAAACAAGAATTTGTTGATGCTGAGTCATTGATTTCTGATGAAGACTGGCAAAACAATCCGGTGAAGAGCCAATTGGCAGAAGACAGTTTAATCCAAGTAGGTGGCAAATTCATTCCCTTCTGTTTGTGCTTTGTCCAATGCAGTACTGATTGTCTAGGAAGTCGTTAATCTAACTTCCGTGTCTGTCGGCAATCTTCAGTGTGGTGTATCAGCAGTCTGAAAGGAGCTAGTATCCCATCAGAGGTTCAAGCACGTGCCACTCAGTGTTACTGTCCAAGACGTATTTAGCATAAAGTACTGTTCTAAAACCTGAAATCTTTAAAGGGTGCACATAAGTGTCTCAGTATAGTTTTTTAAATGCTGAGCTACTACTATTGTCAATGATTGTTTTTGACCATATTTTATGGAAGGTCGAACTATGTGGCATTAGTGACTAGTGCTTCATCTACAGGTGCACATTAATATCTATACTTCAATTTTAAGTCTTATCTGATTGTAGACAACTACCTCGACCGTGGTTTCTGCCTTTGCAGTTGGCGTTGGCATGTCATTTCCAGTCGCCAGAAGTGACATAACTCGGAAGCACAGAAGAATTAGTTATCACATGTGAACGTTGTTGCAACTGCTGTTGATAGTTATGACGAAGTTTGACAGTAAACACTCCTGAGGAAATACCATGTGACAAGACTATCTCTGTTGACATGTAACCATATTTGTAATTACTAACCAATGTTCAGTGTTTAGATTTGCAGTGATGTTACATACTAGGTCAACAGTGTCCAATGAATCTCATTGTATCAGATAAAGTAGTAAATGGAGATCATATCTGAAGTGTCGCTACCTCTGTACATTTAATTTCGTGTGACCTCAAACGATATAAATTTGAAGTTTAGAATTAAAACAGGTTTACCTGGTGAAGTATTTTCTTCTGCGACAGTTATATCTCTGTTATGTGATGTGAGAGACTATGAATACTTTTCTGCGCTCAGAGATAGGAGCAATACAATATCATGTAGTCGCTATCAGTCAGCCCGAGAGGTGGGAAAAATTTAGACGATGGAAAACGGTAGGGTGATGTGTTATCGGAAAATCACACGCTACTTAAGTTGTAATTAACACTTAGTTGCTTGCAATATGAAGGACTGTTTCTTCCTGAAACTCTTCAATTTGAAAATATTAACGTATAGTAACTTTCTCCTAGAAAGATGAGGTTAAAGGCCAAAATATATCTATGGCAATATTTGGCGTCGTATTTCATAATTCTCAGTAAAGGATGTGAAACTCTGTAAGGGAAAAAATGTCGGGTTGGGTGTGAAATAACTTCCCAACTTTTACCCTGAAAAGATAACATTGTAGGTGTGCTGATTATCGTTGAGAAACACCTTAATACTCGTTTACTACAGCACACTTAACCTTTTAATTTATTTGACCTAAAACTGTGGAGCATGTGACATAAAGTTTGTCTCATCGTCCTCATATTGAACTCGTAGATAATGTAAACGAGTAACAAATGATGTTCAGTGGTAATTACCTGAGCACACAACGTAGGTATCATGTTGTATTATTAGCCGGATTTGTGATTTTAGACTTTTGTTTATGTTGATTTTACATTGTAATCACTTTTATATTTACATTTTTTTGATTTCTTAGGAGTTTCTCAGCAAGTTCATTGGGCTAGAAAATGAATCCGAACGTGATCGTAAATCTTTGGAAATGGTTCATCGACAACGAATTGAAAATCAACTGCTTGAACGTAGAAGAGCAATTGTTGATGCTTGGGAGAGAGCTATCAACACCGAAAAGCCTAACGTAAGTCTGGAGTTTAGAGTGATTTTATTTACAGTATGAGATTTGCAGGTTTTCGATTAATTTTGAAATAGTTTTATATACAAATTTACATGAGTTTTTGAAAAAGGGCATGAAACAGCTTTTTCACCCGAGTTTGAGGCCTTGAAAGTTACAGAGGTGTTAGGCTTCATCACAGAAAGCCGCTAAGTCATAGTCCAATAGTCAATTTTTTGAACTTTGATAATTTGCAATATGGAATAAGCTCTATCTGGCAGCATTCATTTCTGCCCTTAAATGGTGTCAATTCATGACGAAGTTTGCTTTTTCATGGATATATTATTACTATTGTTCTGTTTGGTTCCAAGTGGAACGTAAGGCTTCATGCAACGGTCTCCTCAGCATGTTTTCGACCCATCTCCATTTTCTGCTGCATGTTTGTTGAGCAATGGGTTCTTGGTTGGTTCGTTCCCATAGTGTCTTGTTAATAATTCTTTCTGACTGACCGTCTGATCTTCAATGCAAAGCCAGAGAAGGCAGCTGTCGGTAAAAGTATGCAACCTTTTGGAAATGCTTTTCGTGATGCGTCAAGTTTCTGACTCATATAAAAGAACTGACTGACTTAATATTGGTGTTGCAAATTTCAATTTTGTTGTTTATCCTGAGCGCAGAAGGTTTCCAAACTGATTTTAGAGTGGTGAAGGTGTGCTTTACGTTTGTGATTCTCGTCTTGATATCCTCATGTGTGCTGTCTGCTTGTATTTGAAACAATACTGCTCGACACAACATCCTTTTTTAGATTCAAATAATTTTATTATTCCGTATCTGTTGCTCTCATTTTTCTGTTTTCTTACCATTTATCATATCACTTTCTCTACTTGTGTTGTACTGCCTACTGTCGGTGTATCGTTTCATCGATATAGGAACTTATATCAGTGGACAGCTTTTGTAAAGTCACGTTTTGTTTACCAGTGATTCAGATCCTTGTTATTAGTTGCTAATGATAAGCCATTGTCTTCCTCGACAAGCTATGTTAGCTCACATAGGATTAAGTTGGAGAAGAGTTACAGGTGATCAAAGCAAAAACTGACATCAGTTCGTGAATCCTTTAACTGTTGGTTTGAACCAGCCATGTAGGGAAGTGTAGAATGTGTGACTGGATTCCTCCAGATGCTTAGGACACCAATAGCGGGAGACTATATGTGATATAGCTCCAGATGGTTCTCAATAGTGCAGATGCATTCACTCTTTGTATGATAACATAGATTCATTAAATTCTACCAGTTTATTGTAGTTTCTTTTCATTTTTTCTTTACCGTTATCTATGTTTCTGTGTAGTGTGGTGGGTTGAGCTGCTACACTTTTGTGCAGAGTTCTGTTCAGTGTAAGTTAATTTTATTACATATGATACTCTCAGCTGAAAAAAACTAATTACAATGCCTTATTAAATAACTAATTATTGTTTTACAAGACTAACAGTATAGTGATGCGGTATCTTGATGTGTTTACTGATGAGTAGCCTTTATTCATTTTTAACTATTACATAGAGCAGTGATGGGTGTATTTTGAGTAAAAGTTTCAATCTAGATTATTTGTACATATGTGTCTACATTTGTGAAATAATATCAATTACATGTTAGCCTGTATACATGGTGATGAGTCACAGTTACGCAAAAGCTAGTGATACTGTCTGATTACTATGGCATCAATAAGTAAAGCAGGGTTTGAACCTATAATCTGCTGATTGAAAATCAAGCAAATACCGCCTATCATCTATTTCAGTCTAGACTACCACTGGGTAGTATCATCGATCGTCACACAATAATAAGTGTTGCTCATAGTCCCCGAAACATGAGAAATCTATTCTGGATATGTGAATTCAGACAACAAATAACAGTCAAGCGGTTAAACCCCAGTGAGTTATAGCTCCAGTAATTATTTTCTAATAAGTTACAATTTATATTATGGATTTTTGGTAGAGATTTAGAATTATTTCACTGTAGCTTTCATCAGAGACCAATATCATTTGGAAATGATTGAAAGCCAGGGATCAAACCTTCAGGCTATGAGACCAATTCGACTGACTGTTTCAGCCACTGGAACTGGAATTCAGTGACCAGTTCGTGGTATATATCGATAACGTCAACTGCTGCTTTTTATGAGTACATACTTCACAGTGACATAGTTTCCGATGTTCTCTGACTGATTTTGTTTCGTGAAGAAATCTACATTGAAAGTTACGATTCCACTGATGTCTTGGAGTTGAATCATCCCCAACGGATTACTAAATAGAGATGATTAATCTCTTCTTTAATTTGGCATGTAGATTTAATATCTGTTTGTTCAAACTCAGTTATCATGAACAGATTATTCATGCACCAGGCTATGAACCACACTTATTTTGCGGGAGCTAATGATACTACCCAGCTGCCTAGGCTGAAGTAGGCGAAGTGGGACTGGAACCTGTGAACTCATAATCATATGATAATGAGCAATAGTATGTGCTGGAAACGTCATCAGTTAATATTACTGTATAACGTTGTGTGATTTATCATAATAAAATTTTATCTATACAGAATTTCAGTCAGTGTAGATTAGTGGAACTGTGGCTTCACTGGTTTAAGCACTTTGAGTCAATAAGGCACCTTTGAGTCAAAGGTTCGAAATTCTCTCGACTCAACTGAAATTCCGTTAGTCAGATTTGTCTAGCGCCTCACACAATAGGTGTGTTTCATTGTCGGTTCTATGGAAATGAAAGTGATTGTTCGGTTGTTATGTCTCTACATGATTTCCCTCAACGTTGGTTTATCACTTTAATGCAGAATAGAAAGAAGGAGGATGTTACTCAACAAGTAGCTGCACTCCCATTTAGTTGGTAATGAGCCATACCTTTGGCATGGCTAATTAATACTACTGTAAGTTGACTTTATAAACCGGTGGACTATAGCTTCACATGAATGAGGACTACTTAGATTACTAAGCGTTTTCTTATGCTGATCTTGAAGGTTTCATCAGCACATTAGTCATATAAATAATAAGAGAAGAAAAGTCAGTATTTATTGGAATTAATGGCTGTTTTCCTTATTCAGCTCACTGTAAACTCCAGGTTTTACTACTTTTATCTTTATCATGCAAATGGTCAACATTTCTCATATCATATCATATATTTTTGTGAGACATGGCTGCTGAAAGTGAAAGATATGTGTGAAGACATCAGCTGTTTCTGACTACAGAGGTTTGTGTTCCATCTCCCATGTTAAATGGGCTAATATGATGAGTATTATTAAGGTGAGGTGCAGGGTTAGGTGTAGACGAGGTCAATCAGTGGCGCAAGTGGTCTAGTAGGTTGGGGTCCTCGGGATGCTAAGAAGTGATGGATGAAGACTACTGGAGATATGTCTGAAGATCGTTTTCAATGGCCCAAACCCACCCACTCTTTGTAATCTCCAATATCTGTTTCACACTTAGGTGTTTTCCCATGCTATTATACTTTCTCCCTCGCATTTCTGGTTATCATAATGCTTTCGAATCCTTTTCCCTCTCTATTATCTGCCTTTGTTTCCTATATGTAGTGTGGCGACTTGAACTGGTGAACTTGTATAATGTCCCACGTTGAAATTCAGTCAATCAGTGAATGAGTTCGTGGAGCTACATGGATTGAACAGCTAAGATGTGTGTTACTCATGTTGAGCTACCTCCTTCCTGGATGTGCAATGTTAGCTGATGCAGGGTGGAATTAGAAAAGAGTTAGAAGTGGTGAAAACAATGCATACCATCCATTTGCTGTGTTTGAGGTCCTGCAGTGTTACGAATCAATGATAGAGAAGTGTTAGAAATATGTCTCGATGTCACTATCGCAGATACATTCACTCTTGCAATGTTCCACATTGACTGAATCCGCATGTTTATCTATTTTTATCTATTCTTTCCCCCATGCATTTCTGTTCATTATGGTTCCTTTCAATTTCTTTTTTTCCTTGACGTCTCTACCTTTTTTATGCTACATGGAGCAGTGCGGCAACTTGAACTTGTACACTTCTCTGTGCAAAGTTCTATGTTGAAACTAATTTAGTTTATGCCTCTTGTGTATATAAATTGAAAAAAAAAATGGTTTTTAAGATTTCATAATGTATTTATTAATTATTATTGCATCATCAGAATATGCATTTTTGTTTTTACACTCGTTTTTTGCCATTACTTACAGAATTTCACTTTATTCGAAATGTTAAAACGTCTACTTCAAGTTATTGAGCATGATCGAAGTCATTTTGTTAAAAGACTAGAGCGTTTACGCACTACAGATCCATCTGAAGCTATTCGGCAATTACCGTCTATTAAAGAAAGTCTAGTTAGCCTTGATATTCTGCTTAATGAAAGTTTAGAAAAGTTAAATATGGTAAGATTACTTGATCTCTATACATGCTTATCTTTCTTTGTATTTGAAATATTACTAGTTATGACTAGTTGTAATTTGAGGTTATTTTATAATCAAATTTTAAAATTTGCATTCCAACAGCTTGTGTGTGTGTGTGTTTCAGTATATTGTGATGAGTAGTATTCCCACTTCCAGCACCAGTGAATCTGTGGTTAAGTTGTAGGATATTCACCAACCACGCAAGTGATCTGGGTTCAGTTTCCCGCCGACGTACTCCTAAATTTCGCCTACTCTATTAGCTGATAGTAGTTCCCGGAGAGATGGAAGCTGGAATGTGGGGCTAGTAACACCACCCTGTAGGAACAAAGTCTTCGCTACTCAAACTTCAAAGCTTCAAACTTGAGGCTGTATGCTGCACTCAAAAAGCAAAGGAAAGAACAGAAGTGAAAAGAAAAGCAACCACGCGTTGTAGGTTTCTGCGTTAGGCAATAGGTTGCCGTGTGTGTGTGTGTGTGTGTTTGTGCTGGTGATACTACTTACCTGTCTAGGCTTTGAAAAGTAGATTGAAATCTGCAATTCATTGAAATAAGATATAGGCATGGTGGAGTAGATTTAATTATTTACTGTTTGATCGTAATTGAGATCGATGAGCAAGTATTGCGTTTTACAGGAAAAAAAATAATATTTTGTCATTGAGGATATACGAGAAGAGTACTAGATTTATTTCTGCACATAATTTATTTGTAGTTTATTTGCAACTAAAATGATGAAAAATGGAGATGAAGTACTACTCAACAACTAGTTACAATCCCGTAAATTTGATACCACCTGGTTGATCTGACCAGAATAGGTGGAGAGGGGTTCGAACCCGTAACCCTCTGATGGTTGGAAGTCGAGTGCTTAAACCTGTGAGCTCCAGCTCCACAGCTTATTTGTAGAATATCCTTTATTATGATTCCAGAGGAGTCAGCGTTATATTTACTCTCTATAAGGATCTCCGATATCTAGGTGGTATATCACATTATGTTGAACTGGATGACTGGTTTGACCCCAACTTTAGCTACCGAGATTTGAAATAGTAGAAAGAGGCGTTATAAGTACTTACGTACTTTGAGAAAAATAGGACTCAGGTTTAAGTTTTCTAGTCTTGTGATAACAGTGGCTTTCAGAAGAAATATCTATCACTAGTTTTATAGAATTTATAGTGGTTGGGGCTTCTTGGTTTTATGAATGTGACTTACCCTCAATAGTGGGTCACAGGTTCAAATATTCTGCCGCTTGAGGTTTAAGAGAAGAAATTAGATTCTGTTGTAATCTGTCAAACAAAAGTTGGGAATTTTCGGTATCTGCAGTAGTGTTAACGTCACTACTCTGTAGCATAACTTTTCTCGTTCTTTAATTCTCAGTCCTGACATAACAGGCCTGGCTCACAGACCTGATACACAGCAATGTGCGAGACTTCTCCTTGAGTTCTAATTGATTCTCAATTATATAGGTCGTAATATAAACAAATAAATTTTGTAAAATATTAGAGAGCAGTTAATATATGGAGTTGTGAAGTCAAATCGATTGAGATGGTCAGGATATATGTGGTGCTTGCAGACCCACTGTCTTCCTCGTCAAGCAATTCCTGCTGGCATAGGATTGAGTTGAAGGAGAGTTAGAGGTGATCAACCTGACGATCAGTCAATGAATATCCACTGAGTCCTCATGTTTCTCCTTGAAGTTTGTTCTTTATCTGTTGCACATTTATATACATTATAGCTCTTTTGATTTTAAAAAATTCATTTCTCTCCCTTTGTTATGCTACACTTGGTGTGTCAACTTGAACACTGGTACGCGTGTGTGTTAATTTCCACGTTGAAGCTTATTCACTCATTCATTTTTCTTGTTCCATTTCTTTTAGCATCCAAAATTAATGCCAGATTTATTAACTTATGCAAAACGTCTTCAACAAGATAAATATGGTAAATTAGAAGCTGAATTAAAATCAATTGCCATCGCTAGTGTAGCACTACCAGATAGTATTAAATTGCCAACATTTCAAGAACAAGCATCATTAAAAGCTGAAAAGGTAGTGGCTAAATATCGTCATCATTTGGAACCACTATCGTCGTCATCATCTTCGGAGAACTCGGTGAATAATAATGTTATGAACAAGAGTCGAAATAAATCGGTAAATCGTCAAAAGAAACTCATGGTACTATTTAATCCAATGAATTTAAGTAAAAGTAAAGGTAATAATAATTCATTAAAATTATCCAAATATTTATTTATTGGCATTGATGATACACTAGTAATATTTAGAAGAAATGATTTGAAATACGAGTTGATCACGGATTGATATCAGTTAGAGAACCGTTGAAAACCAGTGAGTACTGTCCCGTACTGCGTACTGCCGATGATTCCCAAACTAGGATGAAACAGCAGCTGTCCAGTACTCCCTGTTGGTTTTCAATGGTTCTCTAACTGATATCAATCCTTGATCAACTTGTAAAAACATAACTGACCCTTACAAACTAAACTGTAGAAGATTTGGAATACACTCAGATTGATAAATATCATCAACAAAGTCATTAAGTTCACAAGAGAAGAAAAAGGATTTGATAACAAAATCCCATTCTTAGTTGTCATAATCAAGAGAAATAACACAGGAAATTTAGAAATACAAGTATAGAGAAAATTAAGGCACACATAGATCAGATACTCAACTATAATAACAAAAGCCCAATGACTCACAAAAAACACTGTGTTAAGACAGTGTTTAAGAACTCCAAACACACTGTAGCACTCTGGTGCTGAGGAAAATGGAAGGAAAATGCCTAGTAGCTGCCTTCAAAAAGAATGAATACCCAAAAAATTTAATCGAAAAGTATTTAAACTCAAGTCGTCATACCAACAAGAAAACATCATCAAAGACCATAAGAAAATTCACTCTGCACACAAGGCAACACAATCACTTCATTCTATAGTGTGCAGACCATATGATGGCTCGCATGACCCTAAGAGGCCTAGTGGATAGTGTTTTGGTGTTTGAAACGATGGACTCAGGGTTTATTTCTCAGTAGGAACACCATCAGTAATTGAGAAAGTAGGTACATCTAGATGATGAGTTCGAAATAAGACGAAATGAGCATCTTGACTCCCACCGTTAGGCATCATCATCCAAAATGACATCAATTTAGTCCTCAGAGATTATCAAAGCGTCTGTACTAGGAGGCAACATGTCGTCAGAGACCGAGCATTTCAGTCCATCAGAATCAGTCAACGGGAATTACAAATTAGCATAGAGACAATAAATATGTTTCTTGATATTAGATGGTTGGAGGCGATCGGCAGGGGGTCTTGGACCTAGGTCTCGTGGTATTTGGCACTCACCAGTCAGCAAGGCGTATCTGCAACCTTGTAGGAACTCATGTCGCTTCTGAGATTCGAACCCGTGTCATCCAGTGCAGTACTGCAGTCAGAGACGTTCGGGCTCGCAATTGGCATCCAATAGGACTGTGGTGGATAATTTGATTGGACGCATGTGGGTTCGGTCGTCAAGAGAGATACAAGTTCCTTCAAGGTTGCAGATACGCCTTACTGACTAGTGAGTGTCAAAAAGCATTAAACCTAGGTCTAGGGCTTCCTGCCGATTGCTTTCAATCATTTAATATACAACAGTTCAGAGTGCACCGTGATGGTGAGCCACCTAGTGGCATGGTGGCCACATTTCAAACTTGACCGATAGAAATCAGTCTGAACCAAAGATAGGACTAGACTCACATTACACTAGTTAGTGTTCAATTCAAAAATGTGTTTATTTTACTTTTTACTAGTTAACTATCCAACATTTATGAAAAATAAACTAAGTGTCTTTAGTGAATTTATGTTTTAATAAAATTTACAAGGGGCTTTTCGTAAAAAAATCTTTTTTTGTTGCCTAAATTGTTTGTTTAATTCATGTTACAATCATGTCACATTTTTTATTGAACTGCTAGTATAGGTTGTATGATAGTTTGATTAAACGGAATTTTATTATAATAATAATTATTATTATGGCGCTAATATGGAAACAGTTACAGCTTTAAATATTACAAGTTTTATAGATAAGATACATGAAAGACACATTGGAGTATGCATGATACTCATCAACTGTCTGTCTGTCTGTTTTCGACATAGAACTTTGCACAAATGTGCGGAAGTTCAAGTCGCCACACTCCGTGCAGCACGCGAAGCAAGAGAAGAAAGTACAGGAAAAGCATAATAGAAACAGTGAGAAGAGGGGTGAGACAAAGGAGGAGTAATAACGAAGAACAAAACAGTTTCATTGGAGATCATAAGTCACAAGGAGTGGATGCATCTGCGCCACTGAGAACGATCACTTTGAGCCATGTCACCAATTGTTTCCAACCATAGATTTTTACCGTCCCGAGGACCCCAGCCTGGAAGTCTACACCTTCCTACGTGGCTTAGACCAACTGTTGTGGATTTCATTGACCGGTGCCATGTTTTTGTTTGACCGCCGCTAGCTTTTTTCCAGCCTGACCCTATATCCGCTAACATTGCTCGTCGAGGGAGGCGATGGCTTGGCATACGTAACACATGTCCTAACCATCTCAGTCTTTGTAGCTTCACGACTTCGTCGATTGATTTCCCCTGTTTACCTAGAACTCTGCGCCTAACCTCCATGTTGCTCACCTTATTATGCCACTTTACACGGGAAATAGAACGCAGGCACCTATGATCAAAGACAGCTAGTCTTCTCATGTCTTCCACTCTCAGTGGCCAGGTCTCACAACCATAAAGGAGGACGGAGCGGACTGATGAGCAGTACACCCGCCCTTTGGTCGATAGTCGAACATCTCGTCTGCGCCAGAGTCGGCGTAAACTGGTAAATGCGAAACGAGCCCCCTGTATTCGTGCTGAGATTTCGTCAGAGATCAGCCCGTTGGCACTGGCTGATGGTACTTCCCAAATAAGTGAAGCGGTCAACGTGCTCTACCACTTCACTTCCTATTTTTAAACTAGGCGTCGATGTAGTCCAGTCCTGTAACATCATCTTGCATTTGGCGGGAGCGAATCGCATGCCAAACATTCGTAGATTGCGGCTCAAGGTGTTTAGAAGACTCTGCATTTCGTCAGCGTCTTCGCCTAGAAGGACTATATCGTCTGCATATTCCAAATCAACGAGATTATTCCCCGGTAGCAAGTCAATTCCTGAGTCACTGAAGTCACCTAGGGTTAAGTCCATTAACACATCTATGATGAAGTTGAATAGAAAAGGAGATAATGGGCATCCTTGACGGACACCACTGGTCGTCATCAGTTCAGATGACGATACTCATCAACTGTATCTATATCACTCAAATCTCCGTAAGTAAAGACAGAGAAGATATCAAATATGTAAACTTATTTAGAGGTGATGAAAATCCACATAAGGAGCTATTAGAAGCCTGAAATATTTCCCTATCTTGTGTATTAGCGTCTTAATCAATCCCAAAAACGTTTTCTCTGGAAATGTTTCACTTATTATTCTGTAATGATTAACTAACTAATTTGACCGTAATAATAATTGGTTCATGTTAATATTAGCTCTCACTGAAATAATTAAGTGTACTGAACGCTTTTGTTAATGTTATTCTGGATAATTGGGTTATCACACTTTATAATACTGGTCAAGACTGTCAGTAGTTGAAGTAGACGGAAGTTAGTACGTTGATGATTCCATAGTCAACCATTACTAGCCTAGTTCAGGTTGTGTTTCCTGTCAAGAGCCCCTCCTCAACATCGAGTAGTTTAGCTGGAGATCGTAAGCTAGACAAGGATGGAAGATTGAGGCTACCAACAGTACTTGTGGAAACTACACCACCACTATATAAACTTGAATGTCTGAAATCCTATATTCCACTTAAGAATGGAGAAGGAGTGAGAAATGAGTTGAATGAGTTAATTTGCATTGATCATTGATTAATTTTTGATGTACCGAAATGCTTGGTCGGCTTTTTAGTACAGATGCTTCAACAATGTATAACGATTAACACGATACTATTTGCCTGAAATCAAAATGCGCCCTTTGCCCCATTTTAAGACTCGTCAATTGGATGTGGCTGTGTCTCACCACCACTCACTAAGGATGCAGGCATACTCAGCTGGGGAGTCCCAAATAGGACACAGTGCGCATCCTAGACTCCACTGCTATTCATCATTCAACAGATAACAAAATATTAGTTGAAAATTAGTTTTACAACTTTATGATAAATTACCGTTTGTTTTTCTATTTTCTTCTTTGTCCCTCATCTTTTAATTTTCCTGTTTATAATTCATTTCAGACAATTCGATTTGGTTTCCTCATATAAAAACAACGACGATGGCGACAAAAACAACAACAGCAACAACAATGGCAACAACAACGCCTAACCTTGTCGATTTCGCTTCAGAATCAGTGTTAAGCACTGTTGATTACTCTTCATATAAATCAGTTCATTCAACTAGTAGGAGTGGCGATAATCAAATTTTAGAAAATGAAACGAACTCAAAATATTCGACAGGTCATTATACTACTGACAATACTGTTTTGGTATGTATTTTTTATTATTGATAACGTTATTGCTTTTCACGTTTTTATACTAAACTACTTTTATTGGTGGTGGTGGGGCTTTGGATGCAGGAGGATAGATATAGTCAGTTGTATTGAGGATTATTTTCTGCGATTCATAAAATAAATGTATTGGATAAAAGCACACAGTGATACAGTATTATTTACTGTTGATGACGCTTTGAGCAATACCTAATTGCATTGCTCGTCATCATATTAAGCCTGTCAAATAAAAATGTCCAACTTGGTTTATTATATAATTCTACTATTTCTTATCCTTTAATTTTATACTGGGTAGTAATAATTTCCCGTATCTCTGGTATTGGCTTCAGATTACTACAATTGCATGTGTTAGATGTAGATTCGAGGAATAAAGATTCACTGATTTAACCTCTTCCTCCATCTGCCTGTATATTACCTTTAAGAACCGTAACTCTGTCCTATGATTTTGTGTGTTAGTGAGAATGCATTGTGAATGCTAATTTTTTCCTCTTAACTGTTCATCTTCGTGGGGTCAATTATTTTACACTTGCCTAGATAAAATGTCAAATTCTGAATCTGAAAGGCCATATATGCGCCTTCATCAACCTAAAACCAGTTTGGGAATCTCCTCCACTCCTCTTCAGCATAAACAACAAAACTCAGATTCTGTTCAACACAAATGTGAAGCCAGTCAGTCATCTCTTCTATACGGGTCAAAAACTTGACAAGCGTGTCACGAAAAGGACTTCCAACAGGTGGCTGCAGGCTTTTATCAATAGCTGCCTTTACCTGCTCCATACTGAAGAACAAATGGTAAACCAGCCAGAAAGAATTAGCAGTAAGAAAGTCTTGCCGGGAATAGTGCGGCTACTTTTACTGTTTTGGTTATTATATACCTTAAATATTATATCTTTATTATTCCAGTAGGTTCCAAGTGGAACATATGGCTTCAGCAACACATCTCCACTTTGTTCTATTTTCTGTTGCCCTCTTCAGCTGACTGGACCCACGATTACCCATAATCTCTCATCTCCTCGAAACACGATCTCTTCCATGTCACTCGCACTGACGATTCATTCGTCGCTCACAATCGAAATTCCAATCGAGCAATGGCCTGCATTGCGCGCGGTATCATTCGATGACTTCCTCAAAGTATATCTGATCCATCTCCATTTTCTCCTGCATATTTTCTCAGCGATCGGCTCTTGGTCGGTTTGTTCCCGGCAAGAGTTTCTTATTACTTATATTTTGTGGCCGGCTTGCCACTTGGTCTTCAGTATTCAGGCAGTCAGCGAGAGTGACAGCTGTTGATAAAAGTCTGTAACTCGTTGGAAATACTTTTTGTGACACGCAGTGAAAGTTTCTGACCCATATAGAAGAGAAGACTGACTGATATGACATTTGTTTTGAAAAACCGAATCTTGTTATTTATGGTGGCTGAGTGCAGGAGATTTCCAAACTAGTTTCAGGTGGATGAAGGCGCATATCCAGCCTTTCCGATTTTCGCGGACTTTGACATCATCTGTTCCTTCTGTGGTTCAAACTGTGCTTCCTGGTGAGATAAGTAAAGGAATTAACCTCTGTCAAATGTCTCCCGTTGATAGTGTTTGGTACCGGTTGTTGGTGGCTGTTTATCTTCATCACTGTCCTCTCTCTTTCTCTCTCTCTCTCTCTCTCTCTCTCTATATATATATATATATATATATATATATATATACACCTGGAGTCCCGTCTTCTCTGGCTGCTTCTTCAGCCAGTATATTGGTTTTCGTCTGCAAGTCTTCGAGTTTGTGTGATATTAAATCATCCACGAGCGAAATCCAAACTTCTATAGTCTTCTTATCGGTCCAACGTATCTCTGTCTTCATGGACTCGAATATTATTTATTTCATGTAACCTGGTGTACATGAGATGGTGTGTGTTACTTTTAAAACAAAAAGCGTGAGTAGTAGCAATGCGCAATCTACAGAAATGCCTTTAAGAACAATTGGTTGATGGAAAAATTGATATGCGATTGAAAGTGAAGAGCCAAAATATCCCCGGTTCAAAATGTCTGACATTTATTGGTGAACATTAGTAGGATGAATGAATAGTGTTGCTTGTAATTTTCTCCAGTATGCATTGCGTCTTTCTTCAGTAGTCGTTTTCGTATCTAGAGCTGTTCGTTTTTCATTCTTAGCGTTCTGAGTGCGCCATGAAGCTTCATAAGCGGTGTCTGTCCTCCCCTCTTATTCTAGATATACCGCCGGCTGGTTAACAAGACTAGGTTCAGAGATGTGTCACCTGAGGATCGAACCCAGATCTCTCACATCATGGTGACTATTTTGTCATTAAGTCACTGAATTATGGGAGCTGAATGGTCAGTGTCTCTCTTCCTAACCTGAAGGTTTTTAGATCCGTTCTCTGGTAAAGTCATGATTTCATGCTGCTAAAGGGAGTCCCAATGTAGGATGAAACAGTTGTCTAGTACTCCGCTGTTTACACCTCTACTAAACGTTCATTTCGAAGCTTCAGTTTATGAATAAGATTAATGCAGTAACTGCCACTTAACTAAGGAAAGTCATCTGATATCCATCGAAAATCAAAAATCTTTCTAAGCATGTCTTTAAAGTAAGAATAGACGAATCCTTCATAATTTTTACAATTTTACGATTTGTTTGATAAGTATTGAGCGCTGTTTTGTCCAATATGAGTGCTAAAAAATTAACCATTTAGCGAAAGTAGATACAAATCATTTGTGCATTTGTTCTGTCCCACATGTGCTACGTGGTATAATAGGGTGGGTAGTATTGAGGTTGATTGTAGAGTATTAGGTAAGAAGAAAAAATCTACCGATGAGGTTGTGAAGCTACATCGACTGAGATGGCCCGGCCATGTGTTACGCATACCTAGCCATCATCTTTCTTGAAAGGCATGGTAGCTGACGTTAGATGCGATCGGAAAAGAACTAGTGGTGGTGGAATCAATCTATGCAATCTTTTAGTTTGAGCTAGCCCTGTGTGGAGGTGTAGACTTCCTGCTTGGGGTTCTTGGGATGGTGAAAACTAATGGAAGGCTGAGGAATATTGGTGATATGACCCAAAATCGTTCTGAATGGCTAGCGTAGATGCATTCACTCTGTGATTTTTGTCATATTCAATAAAATTCTATTGTTCTTCCATATTACTGTTCTTTTCGCCTTACATTTTTGTTATTATTATCTCTCTCTCTTTTGAGTCTCTCTTAACTCTGTTCTCCTGCTTTGTGTGGTACAATAAGGGAGTTTGACAACTGGGATTACTGTACTTCTGTCCGAAGTACCATGTTCAAAATGGCCAGTCAGTCACACATCACCTTGTGATGAAATACACTAAATAATTCTAATTAATCTGTTCTAGAATAGTTTATTCCCTTATATTTTCTTCCCAAAACAATTCTAATGCGTGACTTTATAATTCACAAGAAAGAAACGTCACCTGAGCTTCTTTTTATTTTCCTCGTGCTTGCGTTTCAACACCACTATGTGTTAAGATATTCTATCTATGGGAAAATGCATATTTCTGCAGGTTTTTGATGATAGGCAGTGAGTTGTAAAGTCTTGTTTTTACTTTTTTTGTCATGAGATGTTGTTTCATTTGTCATCCTTGTTTTCTAATCTAACTTTCTTCTTTTTGGGTGTTAAAATTTATTGAGAAATATATCGTATCTTGAAGTCAGAGGCGAAATAAGTTGGAGCAATCGATATAAGTATAACTTTTTTCTTTCAGTCTTCTGTAAATTCCCTTTTCTCTCCTGCTTAAATACGCCCTAATGCTGAGCTAAAGTTGGTTAATTTAAAAGACAAATTTAGTGCTGGGTTTATCAGTGGCAGTGTTTCACGTGACACCTATTAGAAGATATGACGGAAAGACCAGCTTTCTTTAACCACAAATATTTCCGTTCTGTCTCCTATATTAAGTGATATAATATGACGAGGAATACTGAGGTGTAAGGAGAGGATGTCATTCGATGAGAGGTTGAGAAGGTGCATCGATTCAAACGGCTAGAACACCTGCTGTGCATACCGACCCATTATCTTCCTCGTGGAATGTAAGCCAACATAAGATTAAATTAGAGGATAATTGAGGGCGTTGAAATCAAAACCTGGCACCAATCTCTAAAGTATTTGACTGTTGGCTTTAGCCAGTCACGTAGAGTGATATAGGCTACCTGGTTGGAGTTCTGTGAATTCTGTTGCTGACATTATAACGACAGAAGAAAAGGGCCAGGCAACAGATCGTTTATCGAGAAAATCAAGTAGGATTTATAGAATTTATGTGTATTATTAATAGCAGGGAAGCAACCTCTTCTGATTGGTTGTTTTCTTGCTGAAGGTTATTGTGTTATCACTTTGTGGCCGTGATATCCACTCCCTCATTTCACTACACACAGACAACCACGGACATCAATTCGACTGGGACAACATTCAAATACTAGACAGAGGAAACAACAAGAATGCTAGAGAATTCCATATTAGTTTGATTATTAAATGTATCACACAGTGAATGCTAGAGAATGCTAGAGAATTTTTAGAAGCTTGGCATTCCAGTGAATCATCAATCAATAGGCACATCGAGATAGACAAAATTTATCAACCAATAAGAAAGAAACTTCACACACAAAGGGTCAAAGTTCAAGTCAAAGAAACTATCAGTTGCAATCTAAGTAACCTAGAAGGTGTGAAAACACACAAAAACAACCAATCACGAGGTGCAAGGTCACCAGGAGAGATGATTAATAAACTCGTGGAGAAATCTAAAAGCTCACTTCAAATTGAAGTATGCGCTGAAGATGTCTGTCTGTCTGTCTGTCTGGATTCAACATAGAACTTGGCACCGAAGTGCAGCAGTTCGAGTTGCCACGTTCCAAATAGCACACAGAGGTAGACAAGAAGATGAGTGAAGAGAATTAATAGAGTTTGACAAATATTAAGAGTGAAACAGAATCGGTAATGGTAGAAAGGAATATGAAAGATTACAGAGATTGAATACATCTGCGCCATTGACAACGATTTTGAGCCATGTCACCTATTGTCTCCAGCCATTGATTCCTAGAGTCTCGAGGGCCCCAACCCGGGAGTCTGCATCTCCCTACCTGACTCAGTTTAACTGTCAAGGATTTCATGGATTGATGCCATGAAGATGTCACCCAGTTAGGTGATGAAAGCTTCGCAAACTAACCATCCAGCTCAGAGAACAAAACCACATCAAAATCATCCACCTGAGCTACAAATCTTCTCTATCATATCTAAAGCAATTAGTTCCCTTTATGAATTTCGACAACACATTAAGAAGACCTAGTTTATCTGAAACGTGTGATGTATTCTCGCAGCACATTTCGGACATTCTGATCACATACGTACTTGTCATACACAGCTTTTATAGAAGGTAAGAAAGCATGAATAATTACAATACAGGTCAGATTGTTTACAGGTCAAGGTCAAAAATAATCGGCAGGGAGACGCAAAAGGTGTGGGAAAGAAAGAGAAAAAGAGGAAAAACAAAGCAAAGAAATGGTTGAAAATGTTATGAAGTAAATCGGTCCTTGATTCTAAATAAGATTACCAAGGCAGGTTTAAGGTGATGACAAATAACTTTTGGACACAAGACAGGTTTAAGTCTCTTCATGGCGAAGACTTCAATGAATTTAAGTATGTGGTCCAACCTTGTTTTATACATGGGCTTAAAGGCATTGTTGAATGAAATCAACCTTATGACCAGTCTCTATAATATGCTTCGCTATAGATGATGTTGGACATCTATTTCCGGGGTCAATTGCATCTGGCGATTTCATTTATTGTTGCAGCCACTTTGGTATGTGTTCTGTAGCCCTGACATGCAGAGACCGATGGGTCCTCCCCATGTACGTGTCTTCACACATACATGTAAATTGATGAACACAGTGGGATGTGACACTATCGTTCGGATAATGTGAGGGTTTATAGGTTCAGATAAACTTCGTCTTCTTATTGTGTTGTCGAAATTCTTCAAGATTGCTTCCAACCAGGATAATGCTTGAGTGGTCTCCTCAAACTTGTTGACTACATTTCAAAATTTAGACTGTACTTATTCCAGGGACAACCAAACCCGTGGTACTGGTTGCTCCCTACTGGATTGAGCCATCAATATTTACAACCACTTCTATGTTGTTTTTCTTTTCTTCTCTATAGTTTAACTCAACCTCCTCACTGAACAATACATCCATGCATTTATCCAATCAAAGTCAAGGCAATAAAGCAGCTTATATATCATTAATTATTTTAGGCGTACTATTCACTTGTATTTGTCTGCTGTTAATTACCCGACGTTATCTCGCTTCACTTCGATATAATCGTAAAGGTTATACACTGACAGTAGTTGAAGTCGATGAAGTCATAACACCAAAAATGAATGATTATTCACCAGAATTTTTACCAGTAAGAAAAAATCGTCGTCGTCATCACCATCATCAACGAGGGCGACCATTTTCATCCTCTTCAACATCTTCAATATCAAAACAACCTACTAACCATGATGATGATGTAATACATAATTGGCAAATGAACGGTTATGAAAATCCTGCGTATAAATTTACTACAAATCATACAAATAAACGATTTATCGGTTACCCATCAGGTAATGGTATGATTGCTGGCGATGTCAATGGTAACACTGACACTGACGCTGATGTTGGTGGCGTGGATAATCCTTTTCATCATGATAATAATAGTTTTGATGATTTTGAAATTTAGGTTAAACATTTTGTTTTTTATGCTCATATAATATTTTCATTTAAGGTTTTCATTTTGCTTTTCCTGCATATTTCCTTGAATCTTTTACTTTTCTATTCTGAGGTTTTTCTCTTTCTTGTGGCTGACATTAAATCCATACATATACATATACGTACCTGGCAAACATGGGAACAAGTCACGCCCCCCCCCCTATTGACTGACTCTTATCACACGCGTACAACTGATTTGTGTCAATGAATACTCAAATATGCATTTATTATATATCATATATTACTTATTATCATCAATGAGCAATTCAAATCCTTTTTTCCTGATCATTTATTCCATTTCCTTTATTATTAATAACATTGAAAAACAGCTTACTCTTAACTTCTGTGTACTTCAGTGAATGAATAGATTCTCTTATGTATGCTATTTCGTTAACTTTTTACTTTTCCCATGCATTTTTTTTCTTAATTCACAGTGAGTTTTATTCAGTTCACTTGTGTGTGCATGTGTGTCTGTGCGTTTATTGCATCACTTCATACTGACATTTAATAAACTAACCATTGGTTATATGTCACTGTAATTATGGACGACAATCACCTTTTCCCACTGAAAGCACCTTTCCATTCTGTCCGTCTCCCTCCTCCCTTCACTCCTTCTTCCTCATCTCTTTCATCCTCTTAGGATTTCTTGTGCAATAATTATTTTCTTTGTAATATAACCATTTTTTAAAACATGTCTTTATGCCCCTCTGGGTTTATATGCATATATTCCTATTGGAGTGTCTACAATCACTGCTTCTCATATAGCTTTATCTCATTCATAAATCTAGTAGCACGGAGAGAAATGTAGAACGACAAGAATATATACATATACTCCGTATATCACACTACAGCATGGAGGCTTTTTCTGCCTTAACATTTGGTTTAGCTATGATTAAATGTCATAGATATCTCTTTATCAAAAATGTGATTCATTATTCTTATGCATAAATGTCATCATTTCTCCCTTTCGTTCTGGAGTTTGCTTCTTAGCTTCAGTTTACTTCAAGACAAGGAACAGTTGACTTCTGATAACGTTAAACATGAAATACGACAAGTCATATATGTATTCTTTATGAATCCTTGCGTGTAATCATTGATTTTCCTTCTGGGGCTAGATTTATTTCACTTAGTTCCAATTGATAACACGAGTGCTAGGTCAGCGTAGGTTTGTTGTTGCTGTTCTTGTTGTTATTGTAGTCCAAACTGGTTGAATCTACAAAATTCGCCTCACGAATGTGTGTGTGTGTGCGCACGTGTCAGCCATTACTCTGGCTAGTGTTTACGTGCGTTGACTTGCTGATATAGGAATAGCGTTCAACACTGAGATAAGAAACTTGATACTTGATTGGATTTCAGTTGACAATCAGCTGGAAAAGAGTGACGGTTAGTCAAATCAGAAAACTGCATCAGTTCATGAAGCCGTCATCCACTGTGGAACTTGTAAAGACAACAACAGTGAGACTGTGAAACTGTAATAGATTCAAGTTGTTATTCTTTAAGAATATACACGAAATGACCATTCTTTGTCTTATTTTCATAGGATGTTCAATTGGTTGAGAATGCATCAGACATTAAAACTCAAAGACTTGGAGCGGAGGAGCTGATTATTCGAGGTGTCTGAATTATCGATTTCACATCAGACGTGTTTTGCAGAGTATTCAATTGAACCATGATTCACACAACAGATTCCGTTTCTACTGCAGCGCACTGGTAAGCTCTGTGTGATTATAAGTTGTATTAAGTATTTGTCTAACACTATGTAGTACTGATTAATTGATATAAGTAGATGGATACCACTCATATTAACCAGTGGTGCTTGCTAGCTATATCGAGGTGATCCATTCACTTGTTGATATGAGTGGTATGCAACTACTCATATCAATTATTCAGTAGTAAGTAATTTTGTCATGTCCTATGTCTAGTCCATTGCTTGGTGAAGATTTAATTCTATCAGAAAAGTTTGCAATGTGATCACCATGCGGGGTGTCTCCCATTCCCGGTTTTCTGAGAGCTGTTGTTAGGTGGTTGGGGTATTCAGCGGAACTTAGGTTTCCTGCTTATTGTATACTCACTCGTCGGAAAATGTGTATCTCCGATCTTGTAGGAACTCATGTACCCAGTAATGCCGTTAGAGACGTTACCACAATCAACTTCCTGTGGAGCCGTTATTGATTAATTGATTGGTCACCAGGTGGTTGGTCTAAGCCACGTAGGAAGGTGTATACTTCCAGGCTGGGGTCCTCGGGACGGTAAGAATCTATGGTTGGAAACAATTGGTGACATGGCTCAAAATCGTTCTCAGTGGCGCAGATGCATCCACTCCTTGTGACTTATGATCTCCAATGAAACTGTTTTGTTCTTCGTTATTACTCCTCCTTTGTCTCACACCTCTGCTCACTGTTTCTATTATGCTTTTCTTGTACTTTCTTCTCTTGCTTCGCGTGCTGCACGGAGTGTGGCGACTTGAACTTCCACACATTTGTGCAAAGTTCTATGTCGAAAATAGACAGACAGACAGACACCAGGTGGTGCACTACAAGGATGAATCATCCACCTTAATGACCATTTTGAAAACTTGACTTGTCACCAACACCACGTCAAAGAACTCAGAACTTGACACACTTCTCAATTATTCCCAAGTGACCATTTACTGCGATAGCGATTGTTGATGAGAGTCCTACAGGAGGTGCATCGTGAACCCCAATAGCTTTTAGGTGACATTTCTTACTACAGGAATATGTGATCACGCTTTGAACTCTGGATGGGTCATGGCACCGTTCAAGATGAGTGATATGCCTTGGCGACAGGTACCAAGAAGCACCAAACAGGACTTTCCAAAGGTTCCTCCTCCAAACATCTAACAACTTTGACAGTGTAATTTTAATGGACACTAATCCTATAAGCGTAAAGGTATCTGTGGTATTCCATTTCAATTTGTTTATTGGATATATCACATACAGTGAAACAGTATTATTTTACTGCGTAACTTTTCGGACACAATTTATTTTCATAATCATATCGATTGTATGGAGTAGTTTGAATTTCAACCTCCTGGACTGACTGTACATCACCATATATCACCGTTGTGTAAATAAGATCTCAGTTAGGTTGTATAAACGTGAAAAGGTAGTACACGATTTAGCAAGTTGATTGTTGAGATTGATAAACTGGATCTTATCTCATAGTGTGAAAGATCTAATGTTATGGTGATCCTTTTAGTTCCACGATTTCTCGTTTAATGTATGTATATACATCACTACATGTATTCGAATTTCAATGAATATTCACCGATATTTCAGTCTCGGTGTGCACTACTCACAAGGTTTTATGAGAAATATATCGTGTATAGTGTTTCCAGAAAGGATATTGAACAGCGAGTATCTAGGTTTTCAGCTATAACACCGACCAGCCAACCATGCACAAGAGTATGAGATTCGACCTCCGCCAGTCACGCGATCCTTTATCTCGCCGAGGAATATGTTCCACAGGTAACATGAAAGAATGCAAAAAAGATGTAATCATCCATCAATAGACAATTTCCCTACCTAATCCTACGGGGCTGTGTGATCGGTTACTGATTCCTTCCATCTCTCCTCATTTATGTAATACTTGCCAGATGGTGCTTAGATTTAAATCAGCCATTTTCAAATTTGTTTTCCTTTTGAATCTTCAAATATCTCCACATGAGTCATTTCAAATCTAAACAGTTTAAAACAACACACAATAAAGAAAAACAAATGTCGAATTAGAAAGCAAATTTTCAGGTGAATCATCAAGTTTTTCTATTTAATGGTGTAGAGTGAATGCATTTGTTTTATAAGATAAGCTTATTCGATATAATGTTCCACTGGATGAATTGAATAGACAACATGCTCCCCTCGTATTCTGAGCTCCATCCATGATGGTGGTGGGTCATGTGTGCGCGTACAGTAGTCCCTCACATTTTATGCTTCTCTAACTGGTATGGCCAGCCGGTATACCTGCTTCATGGGTGTTGGCTGTGATGGGTGTCTTACTAGACGAATATGAGCGTGTAAGGACTGGAGACGTTCCACTTGTATACCTAGAGCATTATCACTACTAGACTTCGTCAACTTTCTCATGGGTCGATGACAGCGTTGTTCTGACTGTTGTTCGCGGCGTAATAAGCATTCCCCGGTCTGCCGGGAAAATCTTGGCTGCCACAAGTTAAGTCAAGTTAAGTCTTCGACTGTGAAGCCGAATGTTAAGCTGGTTTCCCTCCTAAACGTCCAATTCGTCATCAAACTCAATCATATGGAAAAAGTGAATGCTTTGTCAGTGCCTCTAATCGTTCTTTCAAGAGAGCGAAGGGGGAGGAAGCGATTAGAGATATCTTGGACAGATGTTTATCAAACATCGAGCAGTACTTTTACTTCCGATAAGTTATCCTCAGTAAGAATTCATTTTGGGCGAAAAAAAATTAACTTCTCCAAACAGACCGGAAAGACAGTCCTACACACTTTATAGGGGGAGTAGTATGTCATCATCTCTCACGCATGTTGTGGGTATTTATGCAACCAACCACTCATCACTCATGGTTGTGATTATTTATGCCGTCAATCATTTCTCATGGCTGTGAGGCCGACTTTGTTGTTGTAAAAGAAATGTATAAATACAGTGTGTTGTCGTTGTGGTTACAATATACAGTCACAGACCAGCCTTTGTCTTTCGATATTGGCATGGCTCAGTGGATCGGGAGTTACCAACAACGACTTCAACCTGTGTTGTTGATTCTAAATCCCTTGATGTAAAGTGTTTAAAACGTTCTAATGACAATCTACAGAATAATAAAAGGTGACATCTTCAGTTACACCAGTTGAATATTAGCACTCTCAGTGTAAGTTTGAATACTTTTCGTTTGATATTAATGTATTTTATTGGTTACAGGATTAGGATTAGATCATGCGCTTACATCGGTTACAGAACCACTGGAAAACCTTCAGGAGCATT